AGAGTGGTGAGGTACTTTTTCGGAACAGCGTGAGATGTGATGAAGGCTGGTAGAAATTGCCTCCTTCTCTCCAACTTTTCTCTGCAGGATTCTCTGATGGATCTTGGTTCCTTTCATTCACAGATGAAGCCCCTCCATTTTCAGAATGGCAAGTGACTGCAACACACTACAAGTATATACTGTTCAGTTTCAAAGACCAAGAAGCTCTCATAACCACTTTAACTAATACAAGCTTACAGATGATGATGAGAGACACTGTATGGAGGTATTTCGTGACTGGTGTCCAAAACCATCTGTGCACCTTATATGTGCATTTTGCTTGGTGGAATGCACTTGTGAGCATCTACTGTCCATCTCTCTAAGGATGTAATATATTGTCACTGCATCACTTTCATTAGAATAACTTTCTTATGTACATTCAAATGTGCATATCCAGCTACTGGTGAAGGCTGCAAGTGGAACCCTTCTGTCTCCTGCAAGGAACAGACACCTGGATTTGATCTGCATGTTAATTGGCATGCCCAGTTCCAAGATGTTTTGTTATCAATAACAGTTTTGCAAATGGCCACTGCTAATAATATAATTATTACTGTCCATGCTTAGTGGCCTAAACCAATTTTTTTGGTCCCAGGGCCCATTCACACTGTACTTAGTGTTATAATTCCATTTGAACTTCCATGGTTCCATTCTATGGAATCCTGGGTTTGTAATTTGGTGGGGCAGTTGAATACCCTGGCTGGGCATTCTAAACCGCAAATCCCAGGACTCCATAGGGCAGAACCACTGCAGTTAAAGTGGAATAATAGCACTAGAATTCTGTAGTGCAAATGGGCCCCCAGTTAAATTAGACCCAGTGAAACATACAAGCATTGCCTTACCAAGTTGCCATTGATGCAATGACTCTACTGGAATTGGAACTAATAATTGGATGTAGGCCCCTGCATTTAATTTCCCTCTGATTTACAGTCCCACCATTAGGGACTGACTTACAAATGGGACTGATTTACAACCCCATTTGTAGAAAACTACAAATCCCAAGTTTCTGTACAATGGCACCATGGCAGTTAAAGTGGTGTCCACCTGCATTATTTCTACAGTGTAGATGCACCCTAAAAGGATAACACTCCCCGTTTTTAAAAATCACATAGATTTTTCAGCCCAAAAATCAGCACTGATATTGATTTGAAACTTATAGCACTGGAACCAGTTATAGCATACAGGAGAGTAGTTTAGTGCCTTTGAGCCCAGGAGCAAAATGTACACCTTTCCCCTTTAAGGGCCGAGGGACTTCAGTTCCCAGAATCCCAGGAGCTATTGGCCAACATGGGACTATTGGCCAACATGGCTGAGGCTTCTGGGAGCTGAAGTCCCTCGGCCCTTAAAGGGGAAAGGTTGCCTACCCCTGGAGTAAAATATTTTGAGAAAGTAAGTATTGCATGCATTTCAATTTTTCTCAAAAATTCTGTTTTCCCACAGGGGAAACACACATCAAATGGATGGGAACCATTTCCCTTCATGATTTCAACATTTCAAGAAATTTTCCACTGCTGGGTAGGGCTTTGGAAGATGCTTCTTTGAAACCTTAGAGAACTGCTACCTACATATACTCATAGGCTGGCTTGGCATAAGTTTTCCTATGAAAACTTGCATTGGCCAGGTTTACCTTCTAGCTCTTGACTAGCAAAACAGTTATTTCTTTTACAGATTCACAAGAAGCTGAAGCATCCATACTGCTTCACTAGAAGAATGCAAAAATCCACCGTTATGGGGAGAGCCTTCAGTACTGCCAGAGAAAATGCTACAAAACAGAGAAGCTGTGTTTGAGTTCTCCAAAACATCAGACCAGATGTTAACAAAACTTGTGGTGGCAAGGCGACTGTTTTCTGGATAACAGAAAAGCTGCCATTTTTCTCTGTACTGTCTCTGCGGCCTCGATGGAACCTGTTTGTTTTGTGCTGGACTCCTATCCCTATCTTAAAAATGTAACTGAATGCAGACATTGGGGCTTCACCAACAAGATGGACTTCTCCCTTTGCTGTTGTTGTTGTTATTGTTGTCGTGTGCCTTCAAGTCATTTCTGATTTATGACTACCTTAAGGTGGACCTATTACCAGGTTTTCTTGGCAAGATTTGTTTGGAGAGGAGAGTTTCTTTGCCTTCCTTTGAGATTGAAAGAGTGTGCCTTGCCCAAGGTGGGTTTCCATGGCTGAGCAGCAATTGGATCCTGGTCTCCAGAGTTCTGGTCCAACACTCACACCACTACACCATGCTGGCTCCTTTTTCCTCTTCTCCCTTCCTTTTCTGCTTAACATCCAATCTGATTAGAGGTGGCAGGGTAGTAAGGGAAGCTCACATAGGAGAGATGGCAATGGCTTGTGTTGCTGAACACATAGTCTGGCTCTTTACTTTTGCCCAAGCAGATGGTATGGGAGGGGACAACAGGGATTGGGATGGAGCAGGTGATAGAAGGCAGTGCCACCAACACCACTCCCCACTGACTGAACAGTTTCCCTCCCATCCCAATGGTAGCAATGCACATTCATTGAATCAGCCAGAGGTTAATAATTTTGTAGTGAAAGCACCAAGGTTTGGTTTTGGTTTTTTTAAAAAAATCAGATTAAACCATTTATTTCTTCCCCGCCATCCCACCTCATCTCTTCTCTTCCACTTCAGAAACACTGCATCAGGAATTTGCTATCTGAGAATTTTTGATGATCCAATGTGGACATTGTTTTTTTTAAAAAACAACACAATTCATTAATTTAAATAAAGGAGTTTGACCATATTTTCTTGAGACAAAAACGAGACATTGGGATGGCAAAAACAGGATGGAGTTATGTAATATTTCGTATTCATGAAAAAGTAAGATGATAACGCAAGTTTTATTGCATGAACATATTGGGCGAACAATTATTCTTCAGTGACAGAACTCATACAAATCTTTAGGTAGACGTAGAGGGGGCTGTATTTCACCACGATGATACCATGAATATTTCTCTAATGAAGTAATCTTATGCAGCAAATTTTGGTCTTTCAACTTATCATAAAACTTCTCAGCTCCAAGACACAATTTTGTGGGGTTTTTGTTTTTGTTTTTTGACAACCACAGTTTCAAACAGGGATCTTCAAACCATTTTCACACCATAACAGCATTTTTCTTGAAAAGGGGACAAAATCGACATTTGTATTAAAAAGAGAGGGCAGTCTGGAAATATGGGGGGGGAATGATACTGTCCCATTTAAAACGGTACGTATGGTCAACCTAAATTAAAGGAAAGGAGAGCATGTTTTGAATTGGGAGACATTTTTAGTCACAGAGAATTTGCCTCTACTGTTTATGATTCCACTGTATATGGAAGATATTGCATGCCTCCTGAATAGAGCAAGGCTTTCCTGCCTCATCTGCAATGGCCTGGACCTCCTGACCACCCAGAACAAAATGACATGTGGCATGGATTCATGGAGAAGGGGAAGCTGTAAATCAAACAAACAAACAAAATCAGAGAGCTACCCTTGTCTGAGCTGGCATATTGTTTGCTCACTCAGCTATTCCTTTCAGTTGAAACCATTGTCTCTCTTCATTCACCATAAATGGAATGAAGTCTGTTTTTCCATTTTGTTTCCTAAACAGACCACTCACCTGGCTTTCTTTCTGGGTTTAATTATGACAGTGGGGGAAACTGGCGCTTACATATCCTAGTGCAATATTGTCTCTGTGGTTTACTTTTCATAAGTTTGATATTAAAGTTTCTACCCAATAGAATTTGGAAATAGGTTGTCAGAGGTCTCTGTAGGTATTTTTCATTTATTGCCCTTGAAGAAGGTCATGTAATTATTATTTTATCTACACATATTGGATCTTTTCCACAAATGGCCCCAAACACATCTTCAGACTTTGGCTGCATCTGCATCTGCAGTGCAGAAATAATGCAGTTTGACACCACTTTAACTGCCATGGCTCAGTGCTATGGGATTCATAGTTTTGTGAGATATTTAGCCTTCTCAGTAGGCTCTGCTGCCACAACAAACTACAAATCCCAGAATTCCATAGCATTGAGCCGTGGCAATTAAAGTGTGGTCAAATTGCATAATTTCTGCAGTGCAGATGCAGATGCAGCCACAATCTCTCTTTTTCATTGGGAAAGTGGAATAAATTAGAGGTGTGTAGGGAGTGATAGAATAGTGGGAAGACAAAAGACGAAAAAGGACATTCAAATGTCAGGAATGGTTTAATTTTGTTGCCACTGCACAACTGCCAATGTTTAATTTTCAACAAGGGCAGCCCAATAAAAAGCTTTACATTTTTAAAACACCCTGTCACTCTCATTTCATCGCCATTATTTAATCCTAATGTGCATAACATATACCCTTATTTTGATAACTCAGCTAGTTTCTCAAATTTATTTTTAGTTTTCTTGAGCTCTACAAAGCTGGACTATTCACTGATTACCTTTCAAAGCCTGTAACTACTTTTATCAATCCTGACGTTGTTCAAACATGTTATAAAGCTCCCCTGACAGTACAGTTAGGGCAGACATATAAAGATTTAAATAGAGGCTCCATCAACTTGTTTAAATCACTAATTTTAATAACAATGTGCAACGTAAGGTTGCACAAGGCTCATTCTATTCTTCTTCCTTGAAGGCTACTATTAATTACAATGTCAGTTGATTATACCATAGATATCCAGAAAGAATGCCCTTTTTATATTTCAAAAGGCTTGAAATGTTTGCTGTTTAGGATGGAGGCGTCTACTGTGATTAAACTACTGCCTTTTTCCTGGCAGAAACTCTCTGCCTTTAACAGATGCAGGCATACAGAGCAAATGTAGCTGTCCAGACAATATAAAAGCTTGTGTCATGATGGGGGGGGAAGGTATGGAAATTCCACCTTAGGAGATGTATTTGAAACATTTAGATACACAGCAGAACCTAACTGAAGTAATATAGTACTGGCTAGGTTCCCATGTAACACAAGACGATGGCCAAGATCATAACTATGTGTGTGGTGTAATGGTTTGAGCATTGGATTACAACTGTAGAGGCCAGGGTTCGAATCCCAGCTCAGCCATGAAACCCACTGGGTGACCTTGGTCAAGTCACATGCACTTTCAGGAGAAAGCAATGGCAAACCTCCTCTGAAGGAACTTGCCAAGAAAAACCTGTAGGTCGCCATTAGTCGGAAATGATTTGAAGGCACATAACAACAACAACAACTCCCCAAATCTACCCTCACTGCTTTGCAGTGCCAAAACTGAAATGTTTTTTGTGATCTTCTGGAGATCAGAACACTGGGAAATGGGATCCTCGGTGTGCTCATGTGCACAGGGTGCCTTGAGCACAGGCAGCTGAAGAAACACATCAGGGTCTTGCCACAACTACTTGCTTCAAGGCAGGCTGTGACTGAGATCATACTATGGACATCATTTCACAGTGCTCCAATCTCCCGTGCTCTCAGTACTAGCCAGGCTGCAAAGATAGGTGTGTTTTTGGGGAGAGTTACATTCTATCATTCATGAATCCCCCACAGTTAGGATGCTTATGATATCATAACAGCCAAATAGGATGCTAGTCCAAGTTTCCTGCTATTTGAATGAGCCATGGTGAGTCCCACAGTCATATTTCTCCACCTTCTCTTCCGCTTTTGCATTCCAGGGCAGGAGTCACTTCTGACTCTATGATTCCATAGGGTTTCCAGATTCAGGAACCTATGGCTTCTTTAAATTATAGCTTGATTTTATACCAGAAATTATGGTTTGAATTGACTTGTTCTAATTAATCATCAAGCTCTTTAGAAGAGTCCAATAGCCATATAAGACACATGCAATTGTGTACAAATCTTGAGTTTATGTAGTTCTTTTTATGCTTATCATTATTATTATTATTATTATTGGATGTGAATTCTGTGTTCACTGTATTTTATGTCATTTTATATTTTATGTTACTTTGTCAAATTTTACCTCATAGTAAAAGTTGTCTTTCCTTTTGTGCTGGTCTATGAGTTTAATAAATGATTGATTGATTGATTGATTGATTGATTGATTGATTGAAGTGATTATGGTTTTAAGCTAAAAACAAACAAACCGCGATACTGTTCTCTAAGTCTGAATGTCCCAGGAAGCCATGATTAGCTTGAAATCAGAGGTGACTCCTTTCCTACCATGTGAATAAGGAGGATAGGTAAGAGAGGTACACACAATCCTGGGATTTGCTGCAGCTTGCCACAATTCATGCATAAAACAGGAGAAGTGTTGGTTCCTGTCATATTTCAACTCATGATCCTGAGGCCAAAATAATCATGATGCAGGATCACGGTATAATTCAAGACTTGCTTGAGGTTGCCAATACGACAAGAGAAGCAGTGACAAAGAAAGTATTATCCTCATCTGAAGGATTTGGAAACTTCTTATGCTTCCTACAGCCAGAGTCATGAAATGTACACATTATAGATGTGCAGCTAAAGAAACCTATGCATTCCAAGGGGGTGGATGACTTCTTTCTTTAGCTCAGGATGGGCAAATGTGAAAGGCTAGTGGGTGGCATTAGCCCCCTAAGAACCTTGGGAGGGATATGCCTGCTCCTGCAAAAAAAATAAGAATTCAAAAATGATTTTGCCCCCAAATGCCTCCAGGGGGTATGGGGACATTTTTGAAAGAGGCATCTCCTAGGACTAAATTGGTTGGGGAAAGGGGCTACAAAATGTAGTGTAAATGCACCTCATGCTAGCTAGCGAACATTTTAGAGCATTTCCAGGCAAAAAAAATTGTTTGAAAAATATAGCAAAAATTGTTCTTGATTCCTTGGTGGATGGAGGGGGAACAAAGGGGAAATGCCCTCCTCACTCCCTAGAGCGCATTTGGGGCATTCAGGGGGTGGGGAGATAAACTTTTGTAGATAAAAGCAAAATTTGATCTCTGGGGATGCCAGTGGGGGCCCAAAAATGGCCCTGAGGGCCTCATGTGGCTCATGAGCCCCATTTTGCCCCCACCATAGATATCCAGATATCTATGGTGTGAAGGTAGGTTTGGGGAAGTTACTGTGCTTTAAACAGTAGCACTCCCTCTTAACAAAGACACTTGATTTCCAAAAGTTGTTTTCATGCAGCACATGTAGCTATTTTTTCCATTTAATTTATTTACATAAAACAATAGATGCTTGTGAAACAATGCTTGCAGCAAACATATTCAAAATGTTAAGCATAAATGATCTGATATGCACCCCTCCCACCAAATTACCTGGCTTCAAGCATGCCATTTACAAACCAAATATCATTATCGTGAACTTTAAATTAACTTTAAAAAGCTGCTGTTAAAAAAGAAAGAAAAAGGAGACACCCCTGGGAACAGTTGTGCAATTCCTGGACTACAGAATGGAAATTCAAGAAAGGTCTCTGTGCATTGTGTGCATTGCGAGTGAGTTCTGGAAAGCTGCCAGAGCCTGTGGAAGACCTTTTGTTGCACTGTGGTTGGAAGGTTACCCAGTAAATGGAACAATATGGCAGCCCAATTACTATGACAGATTTCAATCTACCAAGTTCAGGATTTCCAGGGGTTTAGCCTGATGAAACCAGGGAACAGATGTTTGCCCAAAAAGCACCAACCATATGAAGCCATAATCAGAAATAGCTCAACAGAACCTAATTATGAAAATATCTCAAGCAATGATAATTCTCACAACGAATTTTATGATCATGTCATTTTGTTCTTTGTGCTTAGCTCAGTTTAAAACAACAAACGAAAAGGTAGGACACCATATCACAATGGTTTCACTGAGAATAATCTTCCAGTGAGAGCAATCTTCCACTGGAAGATTCACTTTAAATATTTCAGCTTGGCTGATTAATTCATACTCAGGAAACATAAGACAGCAATGTATATGGTAATCCCAAAGGGCCAGAAAATAATATATTTGAGTGTTATGATGATACAAGTAGCTGTGTATGTGTGTTTGTGGAGACATGCATATGTGTCTTTGGGCCTGAAAAGTCAACTGTTTTCCTAAACTAAGCGCGAACAGATTTTAGGTTAATTTTGATTTTCACATGAATACCAAGACCTACCAATCTTGAGGGAGCCAGATACAAACTAATCACATCTAGAAGGTGAACACAGAATTACAGAACAAGTTGGAAATGATATTCAGGCCAGAACTAAAGCTTGAGTGTATATTTTGCACACTAATCTACTCTTTGTTTTCCCTGAGCTTAAAAACAAAAACAAACAGCCGCCCAATTTAGGAGGAAAAACTGGCTTGTTTTTGTCACTGATATTAAATCCCATGTTGATCTTCTAAAAATCACTTGGGATCCTTTCACACTATTAAAGTGCTATATTCCACTTTAAATGCTATGGCTGAATCCTATGGAATTCTGGGATTTGTAGTTTGCTGTGGCGCTAGAGGAGCTTTCTGGCTGACAATACTGAATAACCTCCTTAAACTGCAAACCCTAGCATTCCATAGGATGTTGGCATGGCAGTTAAAGTGGACCCATAGCACTATACTGGTGTAGCACAAAAAAGCCCTGTGGTGACATACCAGTTGATCCCAGTTTACTTTTGCCCATCTTGATCTATTAGCTTTCAGTCGATATGCCAGGGATATGTAAACCAAACTGAACAGTGAAATATTTCAACATAATCTATCCAATCTATATTTGTTGTTCTAAGCTGAATAATTACTGGTTTACAGAAATCAATAAATAGCACAATACAATTTACAATTTAATTGAGACATGCTTGGAGACAGCTGATTACAAACAACAATTATTTAAAGTTTTAAAAAACATGTTTAAAAATATTGCTTTACTACTGTGCTTGTAGCCAAACTGGAAAAATCATATGCTGTGACAGATATATGCTGATCTTACAGTTTATAAGCAAAATCACTTTTCACAGGCTTGTAAATATATTTAGGGTTTGAACTTGTAAATATATTTAGGCCTGCACAACATGCGGCCCAAGGGTAACATGCGGCCCACCAAAGGATTTCGGGAGGCCTCTAGATGTGAATGGTTTCACCACCCAGCTTTCTTCTAGGAAAGAACCAGGAGGCGGAGGAGTAGGACAGCTAAACACTCACCCCTCAAGGCTCCTCTGCATCAGCCTTTTCCCGAGGATATGACCAGGCAGAGAATGAGGGCAGAATTAATATTAATAAAATTAATTGTTATTAATTAATAATTAATAAAAAGTAATTAATAATTAATGATTAAAATAGTTTAATCATTAATTATACCTCTATGTGGAAACTGAGCTGCTGATAACCTATCTAGAGTCCAAAGAAGTTTAGCCTGTTTTAATTTTGGCCCCTAACTACTACCAAGTTGTGCAGGTCTGATGTATGACATTGTAATTTATAATCTAATTATAACTTTAAAATTTTTGCTAGTTGTTTATGTCACAACTATTGCCATTACATTCAGTGATATATGAGAATTACGATTTAGGAGTATCATTAGTCCAAAAAGCATTACTAAGGATTCTGTATGGTGTGGTATGGGAGGAGTTCAATGAGAAGGTGACACCATGAGTTACCGCACCAGGTGACACCAATCCTAGTGACACCACTGCTATATTGTAATGCTCTGTTTCATTCCCTTTCTGGACAACATGTGATGTGCTGTCATTAAACTGTGCATTTTACACCCTTTCCATAGATCATTGGCTGTTAGCAAGGGCAAATAAACATACACAGTAATGAAATGAATGGTACATTTCATAGAAATAGATGAAATGGAGACCAGAGAAGACCAGTGCTTGCTAATAACATGGTTCATATATGGACATTATATATAACATGTTACTTTTGGAGAGAAATGAGAAGGAACAACAATGTTATTTGTGCAAAAGTACACAAGGACTTGTGCTGTTACTTTTTAAAAATCACTATAATGAGTAACAATTACTTGTCACTTCTAGAAAATAAGGGATTGTGGAGGAAGAGGTTTTGGCCATTTCAGTCCATTTTTAAAGTATATTTTTTAAAAGAAATGAAATGAGGGGGAAAACACATTAGTAATGCATTACTAAAGAATTACTTTTAAAGTAACAAACACTATAATAATTGGCTAGC